CCCCCACCCTCCCCGCAGGTCCGGGCTACGCACCCTTGCGCGAGGAGGCGGTGCGGCTGTTCCTGGCGCTGCAGGCGCTGGAGGGGGCGCGGCGCCCCGGGCCCCTGATGCAGGGTGTGCTCCAAACCTGCCGGGACCTGCCCGCGCTCCGCGACGAGCTCTTCCTGCAGCTGGCTAAGCAGACCTCGGGCCCCGCAGGCCCTCCCGGGCCCCCAGCTACCCAAGACCCTGCGGCCCTTCGGTACTGGCAGCTCCTCACCTGTATGAGCTGCACCTTCCGGCCGGGGGGAGCTGTCCGCGGGCACCTTCTGGGGCATCTGGAGAGGTGAGAGGGGAGGGCTGGGGTAAGGACAAGGCAAGGGAGCTGCAGGCCCGGGAGAGAATGGCAGGCCTTGCCAAACTGGCGGTTGGAGAACTTAGACCCAGAGAGAGAAAGAGACTTGAACGCTGCTAATATGCTCAGGGTCTTTGTGGGAATTACGAGATCAAATCCCACTTTCCGGCAGAAGGATTGCAAAAGGCGCCCCCCTTGAGGCAGAGGAATTGCTAAGGGCTGCTTTTCCTCTGGGCTGAGGCAGTCTAGCCAGCGCTTCTAAGTTGCAGAGCGGAATGGGGCTGGATTTTGGATTTCAGCGCAGAAGATCATGGAGAGACTTTGGCAAGCGGGAGGACGCGGTTAGGAGAGAGCTGTAGGAGCCTTAGAAAGTAATTGAGCTCCACGCAGTGCTCCAAGGGTAGAGAGCGGGTCGTTAGGTCCAAGCAACTTAGAGTTGGAGGGGTGGGAATCCGTGAGAGGAAAGAAACGATACAACAAGAAGGCGAGAGGGATGGGGAGAAGGAAAGCTCTCTGAGCACTAACCCTCGGGTTTTCTCTAACCCAGGACGGAGCAGGCGCTCCCGGACACGGAACTGGCGGAGTACGCGCGCTTCATCAGGAAAGCGCTGGGCCGGACGCGCGGCCGCGAGCTGGTGCCTTCGCTGGCAGAGATTTCGGCGCTGAGCCAACGGCAGGAGCTCTTATGCACCGTGCACTGTCCCGGGGCTGGTGCCTGTCCTGTGGCCATAGACTCCCACACCACGGCGGGCGAGGTACGGCCAGAAAAGACCCCTGAAACCTCAACCCGTCCTCCCAGCTTCCCATGCCCGGCCGTCCTGGTGCCTGGGCCCTAGGTTTGCCCACGTCTAAGATCCATCATTTGCGTAAGGCGTGTGTGTGGCGGGACCGGGAGACCTGAAAGAGTTCGCCAGTTGGCAAGACCCCAGCGCGGTGTGATTTCCCCCTCATGCCTCCTCCCCTCCAGGTTGCTCGAGAGCTGGTGGGACGGCTGGGCTTGGCCCGGAGCCGCAACGCTTTCGCGCTGTATGAGCAGCGAGGGGCCCAGGAGCGAGCCCTGGCCGGGGGTACTCTCGTGGCCGACGTGCTCACCAGGTTTGAGAAGTAAATGTCCAGCCCCAGCCCCGCTCTCCGGTAACCCATCTGCACAGAGGGGCCCTGACCGCGGGCGGTTCGCTGTCAGATTTCCAGGCGTCCCAAACGTCTGGCCCCGCCCCCAGCATGGCCCCGCTCCCCCCACCCCCGCCCGCCGTGGCGGACGCCTTGGAGGGGGTCTCTCTTCTGCGTGGCATCGAGTCCTCCTCTCTTCTGCAGTTTGGCGGTGGAGGAAGCCGGGCTGGACGACTCCCCGGACTCTGGTTGGAGACTGTGTCTGCGTCTTCACGGGCCCCTGCACCCTGAGGGTCTGTCCCCAGACGGTCACGAACTGCCTTTCCTCTTTGAGCAGGTGAGCATCTCCAGCGTTCACTGCCCCCCCCC